ACATCGAGTTGTGCGGGGCCAATGGCCTTGAAACCCGCAGTTTCGACATTTACTATCAGCCGCAGGGCACTTTCCTGGACCGTGCTGGCGCTGACAGTTTCTGCAGGATTCGGGAGAAGAAACTGGTGACTGTGACGGGGGCTGTGGAGAGGACGCCGTCTGCATCTGGCGTTGATTCCTCTTGTAGGTGGAGACGGCGTGAACTTGAGATGGCGATGAGTGTATAGCTGAGGCAGCCTCTCTTGTGGCCTCATACGACCTGCAACAGGTGACGAAGTCGGTGAGGGAAGAGGCGGCGTCGAGGGTGAGGAGTTTCTGAAGCAGGTCCTTGTCACGTACACCCATCAGCAAGATCATCTTGAGCTGGATCTCAGCACAGGTTACAGGATCGCCTGTACATAGGTCCACCTCGGCTGCTAGGTCCTTAAGTCGTGCGTAGAAGTCTGCGAATGATTCCCCAGAAGCTTGTTTGCAGGATAGCAGTTCCCTACGATGCAAAGCTTCATTGCGGAGGCCTCGGAAATGACTCTGCAAGGCGTTTAAAACCTCTGTCACTGACATGGGGGAGTCAGGGGGAATGGCTAGCGTGTGCTCTAGGAGGCGTTGAACATCGAGGGAAATGCACGATCTTAATTGGATGAGTTGTTTATGAGGGGGCATTCGGTTGAGGTCAGACATAACAGCAAAGTCTTCGAAACGACGTCGCCATTGACGGTATACTTGATATGTTGCATCAGATTGAAGAGGTGGGGGGCTGGGAACTGAAGACTTGCTGTGCAGGGGTGTACTCGAGACGGCAGGTAATGGAGGAGGCACGGAGAGGTCGACGAGAGTTGAGACTGGAGCAGGTGGTTGAGAAGGCACTGAGGTATACCCAAGGGGGATAGGTGACGTGTGAGGAGGCGTTGTCTGAAGGATAGATGAAGAGGCTGAAGCTGGCGAATTGGTTGTGGCAGCTGGTGAAGTCGTCCTCGTTGCCAGCAATTCCAATAGTTCCAGGAATTTGCGGTTATCAGCTTGGTGTTGTTGTTGAAGTTGAAGACAGTAAGCTGATTCCTCTGACTGTCTTGACAATTCCTCTTGACGTCGTTTTTCCTCCTCTAATTGACGTCTTTGGGCTTCCTTCTCTTGGGAAACTTGTAGGAAGTGAATTAACTGACGTATATCCCGGCTCCCATCCTTTGAATTTGGCGCGCCCGGCGTGTGAGGCGTGAGGGGGGGTGGGAGGGTCTGTGAGGCTTCGTCTTCCTCATAAACCTCATATAAATTTCCCAGCAAATCGTCGTGGTCAGACATCTCGTGTTTGGTATGGTTGCGATGGGAAAGACAAGGAGAATAAGGTGAAGTGCTATGTTTTCGTCAATGTACTTGCCTAAGTGTAGGAACTGGCGGGCAAGTAAAAGAGTATTGACTGTAATATTTGTGAAGTGAGAGGAGGCGGCTGGCGGCGGTGTATTCCTCCGCGCGCCCGGGCGAGATGGCAGTGCTGACTCAGTCGAAGGGGGATGCAGGCAGTGGCCTGCGGGCCGGCGCAGACGGAGGATGTATGCCGGAAGTGCTGTCTTGGAAACTGGGCTGAAGGCGTTTCTGCTACCTGTAGGGCCGCAGAAACATAGCAAAGAGACATGAAAGGCACTGCACTTCACTTAGGGCACTTCACAAGGTCACAAAGCACTTTAAATCCAGGGGCACTGTAGAGTACATCTTCTGGGCGGGAAACAGAGGAGGAGCGGGAAACAGACGAGGCCAGCTCTTGCAACTTGTCAACTGTCGTGTTGGAGCTACTCATCTGCACCATGTGGTGGGATGAAATCCTAGACAAGGTTCTTGAAACTCCAGGGCACGAGCAGTAGATATATTCAATAAGTAGTACAAGACTTGGCGGGATAGCCGACCGATACAGAAGCGAGCACAAGGGACTCCGTGCCGTAGGCAGGCCGAAGCCGATCTGAGGGAAATTAGCTAGCTAGGCAAGGAGAGTTGCTAGACATTACTAGGACAATAAATGAGGTCTTCTAATTACTCGACTAGCGCGGTACAGACATAGTACATCGGGACATAGTAAGTGAACATAGGCATTAGGCATAAGCATAGATATCAGACATGCTATAATAATATGTAGTAATACAGACATGTGAGTAAATGGTACAATGAATGGTAACAGAGTCTTGGCGTCAGGCGTGTTCACATATCTTGGTATTTACATATCTATACAAGGTTAGGTTAGGTTAGATGTGTGGTGTTGTGTGATTACTAAATATTATCATCTCCCTGCACAATGATTCACTTGGGGGGAATTGAGCGTCAAATGATACGACATTAGCTGAGCATTTTTTTTCTCACTGTTCACTATATACTTATATAAGGAATTGTTGCCTGGTCTATTAAGGTGAAGTCAGCCAAGCTCAGGATACCTTTTCTAAATTAATATTAGGAGCATTAAATCCGTATGTTGAAGTAATGCACTGTGCAGGATATAATGATTTTAGCGTTTACGATTATCAGTCACTTTGTGTCATATAATTTATCATTTATGAGGATAATTTTATGATGTTTATAAGTTTTTTTTATGGGTTAAATTATATAATTGTTGTTTGACTCTGGACGAAGGAGGCAAGTATTGACACACTGACGGACATAAGTATTGACACACTGACGGACCCAAGTATTGACACACTGACGGACATAAGTATTGACACACTGATGGACACAAGTATTGACACACTGACGGACACAAGTATTGACACACTGATGGACACAAGTATTGACACACTGACGGACACAAGTATTGACACACTGACGGACACAAGTATTGACACACTATTCGAAATCACCTGGAGAAGCACCGATTATTCAATGATTCCCAGCATGGCTTCACAAGCGGACGTTCTTGCCTAACTAATCTGTTAACATTCTTTTCATCATTTTTCGAATCGGCGGACGAGGGGCACAATTATGATGTGGTATATCTCGACTTTAGCAAAGCCTTCGACAGAGTCCCCCACGAAAGACTAATTAGAAAGGTAGATGCTCATGGCATCAAAGGTGACATCCTTAAATGGATTAGGGCGTGGTTACAGGACAGGAAACAGAGAGTGAGCATTAACGGCACTAAGTCCCATTGGAGCAACGTCACAAGTGGAGTTCCCCAAGGCTCAGTACTTGGACCATTATTATTTATTATATACATAAACGACATAGATATCGGCATTGACAGCAACATAAGTAAATTTGCTGATGACACTAAAATAGGACGTGTTATCAAATCTGACGAGGACTCGGCAAAACTACAGGAAGATCTAAACAAATTTTTCGAATGGTCTGAAAAATGGCAGATGAAATTCAACGTCGACAAATGTAAAGTAATCAGTATAGGAGATGTAAACAGGGAAACCAGATACCAGATGAACAACGATGCCATAGAGAAATCCGACTGCGAGAGAGATTTAGGAGTAATGATAAGTAGGAACCTTAAGCCAAGTAAACAATGTGTTTTTGCTCGTAACAAGGCTAATAAAGTACTTGGGTTCATACAAAGGAGTGTTAGTTACAAGACTAGCGAGTTCATCCAAAAACTGTATCTTGCTCTTGTGAGACCACACCTGGATTATGCAGTTCAGTTCTGGTCACCGTATTACAGAATGGATATAGAATCCTTGGAAAGAATTCAGAGGAGAATGACAAGACTAATCCCGGGCATTAGGAACCTTGAGTATAGAGACAGGTTAAAGCATCTTAATTTGCACTCCCTTGAGAGACGTAGAGCGAGGGGCGACCTGATAGAGGTGTATAAGTGGAAGGCAGGGCTAAACAAAGGGGACATTACAAAGGTACTCAAACTATCCAACCAGGAGCGAACTCGTAACAATGGTTTTAAATTAGACAAATTTAGATTTAGGCGTGAAATAGGTAAACACTGGTTTGGAAACAGAGTAATGGATGAATGGAACAAGTTACCAAATATCATTATTAACTCGAAAACGCTGAATTGCTTCAAACATAGGTTGGATGCTCATATGAGCAATAGGGGTTGGGTGTAAACGGGACGGCCCAGTATGGGCCAATAGGCCCGCTGCAGTTTCCTCCATTCTTATGTTCTTATGTTCTTAAGTATTGACACACTGACGGACACAAGTATTGACACACTGACGGACACAGGTATTGACACACTGACGGACACAAGTATTGACACACTGACGGACACAGGTATTGACACACTGACGGACACAAGTATTGACACACTGACGGACACAAGTATTGACACACTGACGGACACAAGTATTGACACACTGACGGACACAAGTATTGACACACTGACGGACACAAGTATTGACACACTGACGGACACAAGCATAGAGCCACCACAGCCATTCCTACCTCCTCTCCCAGGACAATAAGACTAGTGCTTAAGGTGACTGGAACGCTCAGTAACACAGTGGTGGTGATTCAGCTAAATGATCCCAGAAAAGTTGTCAATATTGTCCGCTTTATGACGGTCGTCCCCTCGCGGTGTGTGAGGCGGGGCGTGGTACAGGAGCTCTCACTGGTCTTCTCTCGCCTTGTACAGTTGGAGAATGTGTTCCTACACCCCCCTGCGGTAACCTGTCTCCAAACGGCCAATCTGTATGACCAATACCCGTTCATTCATAATAGTGATACTACTACTGTGACGGTGCCTTTTGGAGACACGGGTTGCCACAGGGGTGTAGGAACACATTTCCCCAACTGTACAGTGTCGTATTAATTATGTAAATAGTGAATTAAAAATATTTTATTGACTTGACGAAAAAATCTTAAAGTAAATGTGCGAAAGTATAGTTTAAGTTTTGTAGGCATCATTACATTAGTTCATCATCATCCAAATTCCATTATTGCGACAGTTTCTGCTTAGAGATCTCTTCTTTACCTGGACGTGAGTTTACTGACTTACAGAGGTAGTTCAGGTGTGTGTGCACGTTAAGTACTGAATAAGACTGTTGATGAACCTGTCTGTGACTTACTTAAAAAACTCGATCCGTGATCCTTGTACAGCGATGTCCCAGACCTTGGTCAGACCCCCGAGGTCAACACAACATATGATGACCACCGCCAGTGTTCCCAGCACCATGACCAGTGTCTGCAACACGTCGGTGTACACCACGGCTCTCACACCCCCCTGTGGAATCAATCAATAAATGAAACAATGTGAAACCATCTGACAACAGGTCCGAACCTTCTTCACACAAACACACCTAACTTAGTGTTACTGGACCACAGCAGTAAATATATATCATGATCTATGAACAAGGTGGTCACATCTCTCTATCTGAACCAGGGAGCTGTTTTAGGTAATCAGTGGAAGGTAATAAAATATGCCTGACCCACCATAGTAATGGCCAGTTCACTACATGGTCCACTACGGTGCTCTCATGGTCGAGGCTGTGTCCTGTCATCACACGCCAGGCTGACATTACCTGACACTGTGACTACTGTCAGTGGTCCCCACGGTGGTAATGGTCTCAATAAATGGTCTCCACGGTGGTAATGGTCTCAATAAATGGTCACCACGGTGGTAATGATCTCAATAAATGGTCCTCACGGTGGTAATGGTCTTAATAAATGGTTTTCACGGTGGTAATGGTCTCAATAAATGGTCTCCACGGTGGTAATGGTCTCAATAAATGGTCACCACGGTGGTAATGGTCTTAATAAATGGTCCTCACGGTGGTAATGGTCTTAATAAATGGTTTTCACGGTGGTAATGGTCTCAATAAATGGTCCTCACGGTGGTAATGATCTCAATAAATGGTCCTCACGGTGGTAATGGTCTTAATAAATGGTCCTCACGGTGGTAATGGTCTTAATAAATGGTCCTCACGGTGGTAATGATCTCAATAAATGGTCTCCACGGTGGTAATGGTCTTAATAAATGGTTTTCACGGTGGTAATGGTCTTAATAAATGGTCCTCACGGTGGTAATGGTCTTAATAAATGGTCTCCACGGTGGTAATGGTCTTAATAAATGGTCCTCACGGTGGTAATGGTCTTAATAAATGGTTTTCACGGTGGTAATGGTCTTAATAAATGGTCCTCACGGTGGTAATGGTCTTAATAAATGGTTTTCACGGTGGTAATGGTCTTAATAAATGGTTTTCACGGTGGTAATGGTCTTAATAAATGGTCTCCACGGTGGTAATGGTCATAATAAATGGTCCTCACGGTGGTAATGGTCTTAATAAATGGTCCTCACGGTGGTAATGGTCTTAATAAATGGTCCTCACGGTGGTAATGATCTCAATAAATGGTCCTCACGGTGGTAATGGTCTTAATAAATGGTCCTCACGGTGGTAATGGTCTTAATAAATGGTCCTCACGGTGGTAATGGTCTTAATAAATGGTCCTCACGGTGGTAATGGTCTAATAAATGGTCACCACGGTGGTAATGGTCTCAATAAATGGTCCTCACGGTGGTAATGGTCTTAATAAATGGTCTCCACGGTGGTAATTCTCAATAAATGGTCCTCACGGTGGTAATGGTCTTAATAAATGGTCCTCACGGTGGTAATGGTCTTAATAAATGGTCCTCACGGTGGTAATGGTCTTAATAAATGGTCCTCACGGTGGTAATGGTCACCACGGTGGTAATGGTCTCAATAAATGGTCCTCACGGTGGTAATGGTCTTAATAAATGGTTTTCACGGTGGTAAATGGTCAATAAATGGTCCTCACGGTGGTAATGGTCTTAATAAATGGTCCTCACGGTGGTAATGGTCTTAATAAATGGTCCTCACGGTGGTAATATATATGGTCACCACGGTGGTAATGGTCTCAATAAATGGTCTCACGGTGGTAATGGTCTTAATAAATGGTTTTCACGGTGGTAATGGTCTTAATAAATGGTCTCCACGGTGGTAATGGTCTTAATAAATGGTCCTCACGGTGGTAATGGTCTTAATAAATGGTTACCATGGTCTCCTCACGGTGGTAATGATCTCAATAAATGGTCCTCACGGTGGTAATGGTTTAATAAATGGTCCTCACGGTGGTAATGGTCTTAATAAATGGTCTCACGGTGGTAATGGTCTTAATAAATGGTCCTCACGGTGGTAATGGTCTTAATAAATGGTCCTCACGGTGGTAATGGTCTTAATAAATGGTCCTCATGGTCTTAATAAATGGTCCTCCTCACGGTGGTAATGGTCTCTGGTCTCAATAAATGGTCCTCACGGTGGTAATGGTCTTAATAAATGGTTTTCACGGTGGTAATTATCTCAATAAATGGTCCTCACGGTGGTAATGGTCTTAATAAATGGTCCTCACGGTGGTAATGGTCTTAATAAATGGTTTTCACGGTGGTAATGGTCTTAATAAATGGTCCTCACGGTGGTAATGGTCTTAATAAATGGTCCTCACGGTGGTAATGGTCTTAATAAATGGTTTTCACGGTGGTAATTATCTCAATAAATGGTCCTCACGGTGGTAATGGTCTTAATAAATGGTCCTCACGGTGGTAATGGTCTTAATAAATGGTTTTCACGGTGGTAATGGTCTTAATAAATGGTCCTCACGGTGGTAATGGTCTTAATAAATGGTTTTCACGGTGGTAATGGTCTTAATAAATGGTTTTCACGGTGGTAATGGTCTTAATAAATGGTCCTCACGGTGGTAATGGTCTTAATAAATGGTCCTCACGGTGGTAATGGTCTTAATAAATGGTCACCACGGTGGTAATGGTCTCAATAAATGGTCCTCACGGTGGTAATGGTCTTAATAAATGGTCACCACGGTGGTAATGGTCTCAATAAATGGTCCTCACGGTGGTAATGGTCTTAATAAATGGTCCTCACGGTGGTAATGGTCTTAATAAATGGTCCTCACGGTGGTAATGGTCTTAATATATGGTCACCACGGTGGTAATGGTCTCAATAAATGGTCCTCACGGTGGTAATGGTCTTAATAAATGGTTTTCACGGTGGTAATGGTCTTAATAAATGGTCTCCACGGTGGTAATGGTCTTAATAAATGGTCCTCACGGTGGTAATGGTCTTAATAAATGGTTACCACGGTGGTAATGGTCTCAATAAATGGTCTCCACGGTGGTAATGATCTCAATAAATGGTCCTCACGGTGATAATGGTTTTAATAAATGGTCCTCACGGTGGTAATGGTCTTAATAAATGGTCCTCACGGTGGTAATGGTCTTAATAAATGGTCCTCACGGTGGTAATGGTCTTAATAAATGGTCCTCACGGTGGTGGTAAATGGTCCTCACGGTGGTAATGGTCTTAATAAATGGTCCTCACGGTGGTAATGGTCTCAATAAATGGTCACCACGGTGGTAATGGTCTCAATAAATGGTCCTCACGGTGGTAATGGTCTTAATAAATGGTTTTCACGGTGGTAATTACCTCAATAAATGGTCCTCACGGTGGTAATGGTCTTAATAAATGGTCCTCACGGTGGTAATGGTCTTAATAAATGGTCCTCACGGTGGTAATGGTCTTAATAAATGGTCCTCATGGTGGTAATGGTCTTAATAAATGGTCCTCACGGTGGTAATGGTCTTAATAAATGGTCCTCACGGTGGTAATGATCTCAATAAATGCTCCTCACAGTGGTAATGGTCTTAATAAATGGTCCTCACGGTGGTAATGGTCTCAATAAATGGTCCTGACGGTGGTAATGGTCTTAATAAATGGTCCTCACGGTGGTAATGGTCTCAATAAATGGTCCTCACGGTGGTAATGGTCTCAATAATTGTTGTGTAGGATGACACAGAGCTGGTGGGGTGTTATGTGGACAAACCCCTCACTGATGAGGTAATGATCAGAGGGGGACCTGTGGGGGGTCGTCAGTTAACCCAGGGGGGTAGTCCGTTATCCCTGGGGTTCATCCGTTAACCCAGGGGGTCATCCGTTAACCCAGGGGGGTCATCCGTTATCCCTGGGGTCATCCGTTAACTCAGGGGGGTCATCCGTTAACCCAGAGAGGGGCCATACGTTAACCCAGGGAGGGGTCGTCCGTTAACCCAGGGAAGGGCCGTCCGTTAACCCATGGAGGGGTCGTCCGTTAACCCAGGGAGGGGTCGTCCGTTAACCCAGGGAGGGGCCATACCCGAGACATTAGAAGGGTCCTGTACTATACTCACGATAGTGATGTAGAAGGTGGTGATTGCACACATGATGACCATAGAGATGACTGGTGAGAGATTGGTGAGGGTGGCGAGGGCCAGTGAGGGGGCGTATGTGGCCGCACCCATGTAGAACAAGTAGGACACAACCTTGAACAGCATCACCAGTGTACGTAACGTCCGTGACTGGAACCGTAGTTCTAGATACTGTAACACGAACCACAGTGCATTAGTTACAGTGGTCATGTCTAAATACATAGTCATTCACCACAACACTGCTGAACTAAGCGATAATCTCGTGTAGGTCAGTGTCAAGATTAACAGCAGTATATCTCAATCACTGAAAGAGCTACAGTAGTGATATTTGTCATACATAAGTGCTAAGGTCACGTCACATCTCTCTAGAAGGGTGGGTGTGTGTTGGTAATGTTATTTTTTCAGTCGCGGTCTGACCACGTAAGGGGACAGACTTGTGCCCGTAGGTGCTCCTGTCCTCCCGATCGTCACACAAAGGCCACCTCAGTCTCTACCTACCCCTTCGCAGGCAAGTGTTGCCAGCGATGAGGGGACGGGGTCGACGTAAACGCCCCAGAAGAGGCGTCCCCTCTCTCATGGATACAGACATTTTAGATACGGATAGTCATAGTGCATCCCACACCCTGCAAGAGTCAGACCTCAGTGATAGTGACAGTAACAGTAATGTTTCTATGGGAAACACTTGCCGGAGTGGCAACCCCAATGCCAAGGGCAGCGAGCTTTCCATCACTACCCGCCCCTCTGCCAACCAACCAAGTAAGCTGAATCTGCACTTCCCCAAGGACTCAATGAAAACTGTCGAGGAATGGTTTAATTGGACAACAAAGTATTGGAGACGACACGGTCTCACCATTCAATTCCGAAAAGGTAAGAACCGTAACTTTATCAACTGTCAGACACCTGAGGTCTATGAAACACTTAGTACTGTTGGCTTTGACGGGGTTGTCCTCGTGCCTCCACCAGCTGACGCAGCGGAATGTTGCCACATCCTAGTTAAATAATTGCCCCTATACGCTGAAGTCGAAGATGCTCGTAACTTTAATCCACGTATACTCAGTATACGTCGACACTAGCGGGGGAAGATCCCACAAGCTTCTGTCATAGTTAAATGGAAGGGGAGGGAGTGCCCAACCACTGTTGAGGCCCACCCAGTCCTCCCTCCCTCCACGTGATCGTCCCAGATGTCGCTTCTGTTCACGTAACCATCACTCCTCTGTCTATGTCCAGAAAATCAAAGACCACCTCAATGTTGGCAGTGTGGGCTATGTTGTTGACCCCAGGTGTTGTAATTGTGGTGGCTGGCACAATGCTGACTCACGGCAATGCCCCAAACGTCTGCCTGTCCCAGGAGAAAAGCCCCCCCGGAGGCAGCCTCAACCTACACCCCAGCCTACCAGGCCGCATCTCTCTACGTCCCCTCCTCTGGCTACACCTTCTTCAACAACACCTGCCACTGCCTGGCCTTACCTGACTGCAACACAGCATCCCCGACCGTCTCCTAACTCAACTACTACTGGGCCTCCTCCCCGTCTCTACTCTGATGCTGTCAAGCCTTGTGCTCCCACCAGTGCCCCCACAACCCCCTCCAGTGACACGACACAGCTCATATCCCTCTTACACGAATTTACCAACCGTGTTGAAAGACTCTTTGATATACTCTGTACCGCCATCTCCGACCTACACCGACTACCCCTACCTCCAACTGCTACCCAGTCACTCCCCTCTTCTGGTTTGACACAAGCTGGTAGCCCCCCTGTGTACCCATGTTGCTTACGGCCTACTCCATCGCCGCCTGGCATCACTGCTGACGTGGCACATACCGAGCCTGCCCCGGTGTGTCCGCCTGCTCCCGTCCACCCAATGCAAACCGTGCCTACTCATGGACCCAAGGACACCACCCCCGGCTCCCCATCCCCCACAGGCACGCCGGCACCTGGGGCCCATCCACTCCAGTTCTCCACATCAATTGACCACCATGCGGATATGCTAGTGGACTACGTATCTACGCCAAGAAGGATGTCTCCTACCAACCTCTCGACAACCCCCTTGAAGCCGACACTACCGAAGTACTCTCCATCACACTCGCACTAAAAGTATGTCCTTCAATATTGTCAATGCCTTTGACCTGGCATGAATCGGCTACTTGTGCAATTAACCAGGCCGTTTACATATATTAATTATTTGGGTTTAAGTAACGAAATCCAAACAGTAGTCCCTTGTTTTATTATAAAAGGATTGTATATATAATTCCTGAGTGTAGATCGACCGTAAGTTCCACTGTATAGGAGTGAATGAGAAAGGGACGGCGTTTATGTATTATAAACGTTAGGTCACGTCCTTACGATATAAGTTGAGGTGAGCGACTGAGGAGTGAGGGCCTCACTGTGCGGGCTTACAGATATGCTGACGATGGGTCTCTTCCTCCTGGGAGAGTTGCCTCTCACGTGTCCAACTCATGTCTTACTCATAGACAGTGGAAAGTTACAGGGTGGTGAATCTGAATATAATATCAGATGTATTGACCCATTTATATAATATGTTTTGTTGATGAGACAGGGGCCCACTACATCGCTCGGTCACCTACCAGCCGAGCTCCGTGAGGCCTAAATAACTCACAGAGTACAGTACATCCTAGACAACCCTAACCATGTTATAAACAGATATGTAGACACTAAGCTGGGGATTCTACTACTGTAGGGGTATTAGCTACTACAGGGGACCTAGACTTTAGTATCGTACGGGTTAGTATGTTATGAACAATGTTGAATTTGGATGACACTGCCCTGTAATAACAGAACAGGAACATAATTGCCAGAATTAACAAAATAGAGGGAATTGTAAAACTCGGTAGTGCAAATTCCTGTGATAGGTAAAATGGCAAGTTATTTTTCAAATCAGCAAAATGTGTCTCGTTCAAGAAAGCTAAAACTTTTAATTTCTCTGATACTATTTGAATATCCTTAATAGTGAAATTCATTACAGGAAGTTGAATTAAAGCAGATTTGAGTTTTATATTTAAAGCAAAATGCTGATGAGTAGGCAAGGTCCGTAATGTACTACAACTAGCTGCTTAACACCATCATGGCATTTTAAAATGACAGTAGTGAGATTTGGAAAGAACAAATACTGCACATTGTGAAGGTGAGCGTGGAACACAGTCTTTAGACTAACTGGCCTATAACTGCATTGTGCTAGCGCTGTGCGTACATTTGGTTGTATGACTGCCAATTCACATATTCCCTCTGCAGCAGGAATAAACGCGAACATGTAGGCTGGACATACGTGTAGGTGTAGATAAGACGACTTACACCGTGACAGAACCTCAGAATCCTCTATTGATAACAATGAATATTCTTCATCTACTAAGAAAAGATCTTTAGGCCTATCTAGGGTATACAGTGTGTCGTTCACAAACCAGGGGAAGGGTTCTAAATGCCATGCATTAAACTCATGTTGCTCTCGCATAGGAATGTGGATCAGAATTGCATTGTGCGTGAGGGTTGACTCCAACAGTGGGTAATAATAGTGAACCTCATTGTCATTAAAAATAGGAGTTAAATGATACTGCAACTTGGCTATTTTTAAAGCTTCAAGAAGCGTCTGCACAGGTACAAGCTTCGCGTCCACACGTCCTATCCCGGCATCTACAATGTAAACGCCTTAGTTAAGGACGTTCAGGTTACGGCCAAGTCGAAGGGAATGATTGAAACCCGTCTTTTGACGCATTCAATATTTATTGATGATTGGTCAAAACCTGCAGAGGAGAAGGCGTTCATAATATTACAAGGTGATCCATCTGATACATAATTAGTTAGTCTCACACAATTTTATCTTAATTACAATTTATTAAACATACTGACATAACACAAAGTTCATAACTCTATTAATCTTAGCTTCTCTTCACTCTGCGTTGTCTTATTACTCCAGGTTAGGCAGAAACGAGTAGGCGTAATTATTCAACAATATTTCAGTACCGAGGGGTATGTCATCACTTAGGCTGTACTTACAAGTGCGGGTCAATGCACATCAGTATGGTGTTCCAAGAGAAAACAGTATGGTCTTCACAGCATCACTAGAGAGGGCGATCTGTCTCATGGAGGGGCGGGCAGCCACCGCCACCAGTCTAAGACAGTCCACTCAGCAGAACCAGGACTTGTCTGTAAACACTTCTACATCTGGCGAGGTCACAGGTCGAAAGATTTAATGGCATCACACGCCAGCACTGTAGCTGAAGCCAGCGGCGATAGCATACAATGCTGTCTATTAGTTCATTTTTAGAGGTTGCAATTTTATGAACTGAAATTTCCGCAGCATGCAAATATTCTGTGAAATAAAGGAGCCATTCTAATGTCGAGATTGCTTTCTGTAACCTAGTAACAATCCTCGAAACTTGGTTAGACTCCACTATGATTGCATTAACCTTTGATTCTAAAGCAGTAATCGCGTGAAAGGTTTGAGAAATAACAAGATTCTGTTGAGATACAGCCTGAACGACAACCTTTATTCGGTCCCCCAATTTAGCTACATCATTGGCCGTTGCCGTGCCAAACAAGGCGCTTTGGATGAGACCCACAAAATTAAAGAGACCCCTTTTTCGTCGTGCCTGAGAATGCACTTCTTTAGCAAGATCAGCTTGAGACGCAGGTAGATTTTTCCCAACATCGACGAGAAACTCGCGAAGGTTCTGGAGACGAAAGTGTAGAACGTCTATAGTTTGTGAAACTATTGTCGAATTCTTCGAAGCTGTGCTGAGACCATGAAGGATGTCCAATGCTGATTGTAGTTGGCCGTCGACGTTTTCCATCTGACGCGGAAGTTGGAGTAGTGGATGTAGTTCATACTTGATGTTCACCACGTCCTCAACTATGAGAACGCGTCCGAGAGGTGCCACAAGTGCACCTGGTTTGAGGACTGATGTGGACATGTCCGTCAACACAACGGTGCAACAACAGAGTAGAAGCAACACACTGAAGATCCAAGCCATTCTGTAAGGAATTGCAAACGATTTAACGTCTACTCGCAGAACGTAGTTTCATACAATAGTCATTTGGGACACTCTGCTTCTGAACAGTCTGTAAGGATGTATCAATCACATTATCATCAACTGGAGGTAAGACATTTATCTGGGTCTTCTTCAGACGATCCGCGTGCACGACATCTGCGATCTGTGC